CATCCCCCCTGGGGGGTGATTTCTCGCTTTCTGTATATCTTGCACATGGAAGAAATAAGTAACAAACCTTAAAACATTCTAAGCTCCCCACTCCTTGTGAGCATGGGTGGGTTGGTGCCATCATTCTTTTCTGTGATGTGTGGCTGGAAAAGACCAGTCATTGCTGAGTTTCCTGTCTCCGTAGGCTGCCTTCCCCTGGTCCTTTGGCTAGAGAAGGCAGATTTTTGTTTGGGAATTCTCTCTCTCTCTTTATTCTTATTTATTTATTATTTGTCAGAAGGAGTGTGTCTTCACAAACGTGAGAGGGATTGGGACACACAGGTGCATGCACCCAGTGTGTTTTTCAAGCTGCTGAGCTGGGATTTGAACTGCATGGTTGGCCACATGAGATCTAGCTCCCTCAACCACCGGCTGCAGGGCCAGTCCTTTATTTCTGCTGGTGCCTTTTAGCATTTCTTAGTTGCTGACTTCTTCAGCTCCAAACCTGGGATATATAGAAAAACAGATCTTACTGGTCTGCTGTTCCTTGGCCCTCGCTAGCCTACTGCCTCCTCTCTGTCTCTCAGAGTCTCCTAATGGCAGGCGTCAGTACCACGTCCAGAGATTCGGTGAAGAGTTAACTGAGCAGGGGGAGGGGGGAGAAGCATGTCGAAGCCTCTTCCAAGGAGCGGAAGTCCTTAGTGCTGGCCAGAACTCTGGCTTCATGAAAACAGGAGCCTTGTTTGGTTCCCAGCTCCCCTTCGTACCTAGAACAGGGTCCAGCAGGTAGTACTTGCCCCCATATAGTTCTAGAATGAATGAGTGAATGATTAAGTACAGATGAAGTAAGAAGACAGACGAACCAGCTAGGAAAGCCCTGCTCGGGCTCTAACCCCAAGCCATGAGCCCCGTTTCCTACAGCTCTGGCAGCTGAGCCCCAGGTGCCCACATACAGCACAGTCTGAAAACGCTGGGGCTGGAACACCTGCTGGTGTCTGCACTAGTACTTCCGAGCTGGTGCAGGGAAGCACGTGGGCGGCTGGCCTGGTTTTTGAGCCAAGAGCAGAGTGGACACCAAGGAGGGGAAGGGAGGAGTGTCAGCCTACACCCTGTCCTCTGGGGCTGCGGGATGGGAGCAGACACTGTGGGGTGCAGATTCGATGGCACGCAGATGCCGTCTTGCCACCCACTGCCAGGCCTGCTCACTGCGAAGACTGTAACCCATCCATCACTCTGTCCTCTGTGACCACAGGCCAGAGGGACAGAGGCTCACTGCGCAGGACACAGGGCACATGCACGAGCCACGCCCCCTCAGGGACTAGGAGCAGACGGCACTAAGAGAGAATGATGGCAGAGCTGGGAGGTTGCTGGTCCCTCTATGCCAGCAGGGCACCCTCCAGCAAGCACCACCTTGCTCTAGCCCTGCTCTTAGAGAAAAGGAGGCAGAGCCACTGCCTTGGGGAAGAAGACAAGTGCCAGCTCCCCTCTGACCACCAGTCCTCCACGCCCTGGTGACAAGCACATTCTCTCCAGGGGTCTTTGGGGCGTATAGGGTCCTGGTAGCAGACCTGTCCCCGTAAGGCATCTTTCTGCTGAGGTGTCAGCTAAGCCCAGCAGGGAAGGCCGTGGCAGCCCAGGAGAGAGTCCCTCAGAGAGGGACAGGGCCAGCCTGCTGTTTCTGTGAGGTCATGGAGACTTGAAAGCAAGGGAGGGCAGTGAAGCCACTGTTCCACAAACGCAGGGCCTTGGAAGCAGAAAGGAGCCACCAGGACAGGAGGGAAACCCCTCTTCATATTGGTGCAACTTACTCTCTAGCTGTGTGACCTAGGCCAAATTGCTTAACCTCCTGGGCCTTCCCTATCTCTTAATCTACAATGTCATGACATCCCAGTCCCCTGAGCCTGCAGAATGGGTGCTGGGATGGGGTTTCACTGCATGTGCTGAGGTAGGAACAGCCCCTTTTCATCCCTCTCCATTTTGATCAAACACAAAGTAGAGGCAGAAAGTGTTTGTCCAGGGCCAGCTTTCTACTCCTCTGCCATCACAGGGAAAAGCTGACACACTGATATTCCAAGCAGGGGTCACCAACTCAAATTCCCCCAGGGTCAGGCAGATAAAGCAAGGAGAGGGTAGGTAAGGGTAACAATAGGGAGTGGTGGGGACTGGGGCAAACCGGTCACTACTCAGCGCTAGCCACCACTGTTAGGAGGCAAGGCTGGCAGGCATGGATAGACCTTCTGGTCTATCATCAGATAGACCACAGAAACCTGGATTTTTTGTAAAAAATTTACCTTTAGGGATGCTAAAAACAAACACAAACTTTTTTTGGTAGGCCAAGCAAAACATCCCCAGGTTGGGTTCCGTCCCGGGCTGCATATGTGCAGCCTCTGAGCTCACTCAGTGACTGGGCTACAGACTGGTCCTGTTTTGCACCTGTTTCCCAGGCCCTGAAGTGGGAGTGGTAACACCTCTTCTGGGGTCCCCAGCAGGACGGAACAGCTCAGGATTTGTGAAGTGTCACCACTGTGCCTGGCACCAAGTAGGTGTTGACAGTGTGACCTTCTCTCCCACCTCCAACCCTCAAGTCAATCAAGCAGCTGCCTGGGCGCCCACTGCGTCTTGCCTTGGCATCAGCAGGTAGGTCTGCAAAGAGCAGCGTCAGAACCACCAGGAGGAGCTGGTGGAGGGCTTGGCCAGCGACTCAGGGCCAGGAGAGGAGTCCTAAGCACAAGGAGGTGGGAGAGCCGGGGAGGGGTGCCCAGGGCTGCGCCCAGGGGAGCACTCAAATCCTGGGAGTAGATGCGAGCAGCAAATCCAGGGCTCAGCACCTGGGAGAGGAAAGCAGGGGCTCCCGCAGAGCCGTCAGATGCACGCTCTTGGACACTTGGGTCCCGTCCTCTCAGCACGTGAGAGTGGCCTCACCGAAGTCTCCAGGCCGCATCATTGTTTATAGCTGCCATTTACTGAGCACCTCTGTGCACTGAGCGCTCAGTCTCTACAACACCGCTGCCAGACACGCAGCATCGTCCCCGTTCTGAGATGACAAAGCTAAGCTTGGCAGGGGCTGGGCCGTGTGCCTCTGACAGCCCACAGACATCGGGCATGTCCTCTGCTAGGGCCCCATGGGCCTCATTTCGTGTGCTCCAACAATGGCCCCCAGGAGCCACGCCCCCTGGGGTTCCTGCGTCCGGAGGGTGGCTCCATGGCTTGCTCTTCCCCAGTAGGAGACGCAGAAGTGCACTCCCAGCTGGGTCACCTGGGGCACTGTCCCCGGGCACCCAGCCTCCAGGCTGTGAGAAGCCACCCTGGCCAGGACCCACTGCCAGGTTGTAGGGGCCATCTTGGATGCCCAGCCCTACTGTGCCCTGATGACCCCAGTCCCAGCTGACAACCCACTGAGGCATCTGGGCCACCCAGCCAACCACCAAGCTGTAAGAATAGTAAGGCCGGTGCGTAGCGCAGCGTGAGCTCCATGCAGAGGACACCAGGCCCCACACAGCCAACCAGGGCTCCAGTCCTGGCCCCGGTGGTGGAAAAATACACCATGTGGACACACACCTGCCCGGGACCCAGACAAGATGAAGAATTGGAGGAAAAGCACTGTGGCATGACCAGGGCCCACGGTGGGGTGCTTCCTCTTTCTCTTTCTTTCTCATGCATGTACTTTCTGGCATTTAAAAAAAGGATAATAAATATTTACCTGAAGTATGGATTTTGGGGAGATGTGCTAAAATCAGTGAGGACGGGAACATGACTCAGTGATCCCCAAGAAGTAGAAACTTGAGGATCAAGTTGTAGGTATACTAAAGCACAGAGAGGAGAAACGACTTGGCCAAGGCCCAGAGGTAGAGAGTCCGAGTCAGGATCTGAACCCGAACTGATTTCAAAGGCCACACCCACAATCGCCCCTGCACTGCCACAACAGCCCAGCAGGGGGGGCCAGGGTGAGATCTGCACTTGGAGCTGGCAGACTCTTAACCACGGGACCTTCGACTTGCAGCAAAGGCTGTCGTCCAGAAGCTGGTGCACCGTGGTCTCCAAGCTCCCCAGCACTCCTCGGAGCCCTGAGCCTCTGCAGACAGGTCTTTGGCTCTACTGGGCTGGAAGACACGGCTGGTGCTGTGTCCTGCAGAGCTGGTCTCTGGGCCTGGGGCCTGAGCAGGGCAGGCTCTGGGGCCGGAGTTTTGACAAATGGCCTCACACATATTAAACAAGAGAGATGACACCATGCAGCCCTGGAGAGGCCCCACATGCGGGGGATGAAAAATGGGCCTGATCTATCTTGCAGGCCTCAGTGACAGGGAGAAATGGATGGACCATGATACGGGCCCCGGCCTTTAATAAGTCTAATGGGAATTCAGTGTCCCTTGGGAGCCAGCCCTCCGGGGAACAGAGGGGCAGGGAGGGAGGCCCCAGCTTCCAGAAAAAGGAAGGGGCCCTCTGCACACGGTGCTCTGAGGTGCTAACTGCTCCCTTGTACCCACACTTCCTCTGGGGTCCTCCTGCTCCTTGGGCACCCAGAACCCTCCACAGCATCCTGACTCCAGATCATGCCAGCTTCCATCCCACCTTTTGCCAGGCCTCCTGGGAAGGGGTCGGCAAAGGGCCAGAGCATAACTATTCTGACCCGTGAGCCGCTCAGCCTCCACCCGCTCTGCACAGTGCTGCCACTGTAGTGCGAAAGCCGTCGATAACACGCAAACAATGACAGTGGCTGAGTTCCAAGAAACTTTATTTATGGACACTGAAATTTGAATTTCATATCATTTTCACATGTCACAAAATATTATTCTTCTTTTGATTTATTCTCAAGAATTTTTAAAATGTACCAACCATCCTTGACGTCAGGGCTGCATTAAAATGGGGAGTGGGTGGATCAGGCCTGAGTGTGCCAACCCCTGCCCTACGGTCTCAAAGTGCCCCAGGATTACTGGCGATCCCTTCTTCCTCCTCATCCCCCCCATTGGGCTGAGCTTAAGTCCCAGCATGCCTCTGGGCTCTGAAGGGCAAAAGCCACTTACCAGAAGGACCACCCGTAGTCCCAGGAATGAGGTCTCCAGTCTTCAGGGCCAAGGCTCACGGTGACCTGGAACACCTGCGTGTACATCATGTGGGCGACCATTCCCAGGAGGCCTGCAGGGCAGGGAGCAGAGCCAGGCATCAGGAAGCTAGGAGGGGCCTGGTCCCCCACTGTTCAGTGTCTTAGCTGCCGGCCTACCTGTCAGTGAACACCCCCACACCTCCTCCCCCACCACCCCCACGGTAAGGGAGGTCAGAGGAAACAGACACAGGAGGCTACAGGGAGGTGATTTTCTTTTTCTTTCTTCTTTTTAAGACAGAGTTTTTGCTATAGGGAGTGTGCACTCAAAAAAAAAAAAAAAAAAAAAAACAGAGAGAGACAGAGACAGAAAGCAAGAAATCAACCCCTAGCGGGGATGGCCACACCACAATCCCTTCTCCTCCATTCTCCTCTTGGGATCTTGGGTACCCACACATGCACACCTGGTGTGAGTTTTAAGTCACTAGGTCTGGGACTCAAACCTCAGTCAACTACTTGGGATTCCAGCAACATAACCATTACGCCGTCTGCTGGTCCCAGGAGGTGATTTTCTAAGTCAGGCCAAGGAGCCTGGGTTTGGGCCAGGAGGCAGAAGGGAATCCTGGAGAGAGTCAGGTAAAGAAGATGCAGAGTCAGATAAAGATCCGTACCTTCTTTCTGTAAAGGGCCTGAGAAGTATTTTAAGCTCTATGGACCCTGTGGTCTCTGTTGCAACCATTTGACTCTGCTGGTATATCACAGAAAGAGCTGGAGACAATATGTAAATGAATGAGCATGGCTGTATTCCAATAAAACTTTATTTACAACAATAGGCATCAAGCCAGATTTAGCCCACCAGCCATCATGCACTGGCATCCGCGTTGGAAATTCACTTGGGAAAAGCAGCTAGAGAGTGTTTTTCAAAGTGCAGGTCTTGACTCAGTAAATTAGTAGGTCATAACACCAACTTCATGGATTATTAATGCAGCTAGCATTTTAACAAGAGGATGTAATGGAACACAAATATCTGATACCATCAAATGTAGCAGGAATAAATACGAGAGGTCACAAAAAGTTCACAGAAAAATGTGTATTAGGAGAAATAATGCATGGGTTTCAAAAAGTGTTTTGTAGCAAAATCAACTTGCATTGAAATTCTATCTCCCACGAACATCCTGCAGTCCCCTTGTGCTGTTTTGTGAGTGTGAGGCTCTGCAGATCTAGACAAGTGCACGTGTGTCAGGTGACTGCACTGTCAGGAGCTCCCAAAGTTCATGAGCCCCTGGCTCGAACAACCTCGATCTCAAGGACCTGAGTGTGACTCCTCCTCCACCACGCTTTCCCATGTGGCCTTGGGCAAGGCACTCCCCCCCTCTGAGCCTCAGATCGTCATCCTGAACATGAGGAGGATGACACACATGGTAAGGAGTCAATGAATCAAGGCCAGGCAGCCTTGGTGTGTGGTGCCGAGCAGGTACGAACCACAAGAGCCACTAGGCTTGCTAGAAACCAGGGCACGCTTCTTTGTGGAGGGGCGCATGGACTATGGCCTCTGGAGACCCCATGGGTGCTGCAGTGTGTGGCCAGCTGACACGGACATAACCTTAAGAAGGAGTTACTCGGTGTTAAGGAAGAGGGAAGGGGTAGATGATATGAAGAAAGAAAACCAACATGCTTGTGCACCTACTGTGTGCCAAGCACTCAGTCAGACACTTCCACCTCCATTATTGTCTCTTCTAATCTTCATAACACCCTGCTGGAATAAGAATGACAATCAAGGTCGTGTGCTGTGGCTCAGGCTGCCTCCTGCACATCGCCGTGGCTGTCATTCACCTCCTAGTCTGTGTGCTGCTCCCTGGAGTGGAGACAGAACTGCACCTGCGAGGCTGCCTATGGTAGCCCTGGCTACGGTTATGCTCATTTCACAGGTAGGAGATGGACGCTCGGAGTGGTGAAGTCTGTCCAACGTCATGTAGGAAGTGAATGGCTGAGCCACGACTGAGGCCCGGGCAAAGGCCCTTAAAGCCAGGGCTCTTCCTATGTCCTATAATTCATCTTTCTCTTTGCCTGCCACACTTTCCCCTATCCCTGAAGAAGAGATAAAAGCAAAGATGGAGGAAAGAAGAGAGAATTAGGAATACAAAAATACAGAGGCAAAGAGTCCTGAACAGAGTCTCGGGAGTGGGAGTGGGGAGGGACATCTTGTGTGCCCGGTGAGGGAAGGTAAATGCTTAACAGTTCTCTAAAAAAAAAAAAGGAAAAGAAAGAAGAGGAAGAGGATAAGAAAGAGAGAGGAGGGAAGGAGGGAGAAAAGAAGGATGGGGGGAAAGAAAGAAAAGGAAAAGAGAAAAATAAAGCCCTAATCTGCAGCATTTGCTACAAATGTCCACGGTGTAAATACTGACGCCCTGGCCAGTTCTGACTACCACGTGCAGAGTAGGGAGGAGAGGAACACAGGTGGCACTCGTGAGCTGGAGCCAGCTGGTCCCAGCTTACCTTTGGGCGTCTCCTTCTAACCACTGGCCCCCAGGCTTGATGAGAACGGAGGTCTCAGAGGTCACTGTCTATGTCTCTGGGCCATGTCTCACTGTTCTCTGACCTCCAGGGAGAGCCACTCTTCCAGGTTGGTAAAGAGCACTTAGGTCAGGAATCCAGGGGTCAGGATGACAGGTCACCCTCTCTGAGGCCCCCTCAGGAACCCCCTAAAGTATCGACTCAAATCCTCACTCATACTTGATGCTGTTAAACATTAAAATTTTGCCCGTTGCATGATGAAAAATGACACCTCAACATTGCTTTAAGTTTTCTATCTCCCTTATTACTAGTGAGCTTGAACGTTTCCCACGTTTATGGACTGTTTCTATTTCTTCTGTGAAGACACCTATCTAGATCTGTTGCCAATTTTCTTTCTTTGCCTTCCTTTCTTCCTCCCTCCCTCTCTGTTTCATTCTTTCTTTTTCCTTATCAATTGATAGGAACACTTTATGTATCTTGGATACTAATCCTGTCTGTTGTATAGACTGCAAATAGTTTGCTATTTATCTTTTCTCATGTTCAGCAAATTTTTTTTTGGAGAGAGATTTTTGCTATAGGGTACATGCACCGACCAGAGAGACAGAGACACAGAGAGAGAAAGTGAGAAATCTCCCCCGGGGGGATGGCCATACTACAGTCCCTTCTCCTCCGTTCTCCTCTTGGGATTTTGGGCATGCACGCACATGCATCTAGCATGAGTATCAAGGTGCCAGGTCAGGGACTTGAACCACAGTCATCTACATGGGAGTCCGGAGCCTTAATCATGATGCCACCTGCTGGCCCCAACAGCATATCTTTATTTTTATTATTTTTAGTTTTCTATAGGGCACTTGTGCCTGCCAGAAAGAGCCAGAAGTGGGAAGTGTGTGAAAAATCACTCCCCAGGGGGATGGCCATACTGCAATCCCTTTTCTTCCATTCTCCTCTTGGGATTTTGAGCATGCACACACATGCGCCTGGTGTATTTTTCAAGCCGTCAGGTCGGGACTCAACTGTGCAGTCAGCCATGTGGGATATACCACAATTAACGTGTCCATTCACCTACTGAAGGACAGCTTGGTAGCTCTGATGTTTTGGCAATTATGAATAAAGCTGCTTTGTCATACATTTTTATGCTTAATGTAATAAAATATATCAATCTTTTCTATTCTGGTTTTTTGTTTCTTGTATCTACTTTAAGAAAACCAAAACCACTAACACATTCTCCTATATTTTTCTAACATACCTATAGATATTTATGCTAATCCATCTCAACTATAGCTTGATAAATGGTGTGAAGTAAGAAACTAACTTAATTGTAATGAGTAGTTAATTGCTTTGAACCCTTATAA